GACTGGAGACCGTATAGGATGCCTCCAGTATACGCTCCGTCAGGCTGTTCCGGTAGCAAGGCGAACCATACGTCGAAGCTGAAGTTGGAATCTTTGATACATGATAGTTTCTCCTTTGGAATATGGTATGAATCAGAAGATCTGATACCTGGAGAATCAGAACCAGATTTTATCAGACCACTGAAGCGCAGCGATCGACTGCGAAGGTATATCGCCTTGTACGCAACGGCGTGGAGCGGATCAGCGAGTGATGGAAGCTTCGACTGCCAGTACGGAGAACCGTTGAGATGTTGAAGCCAGAAGGAGCACGAATGCGAAAGAGAGAGAGCGTCCAGACCCGTTAGAAAGCTGCAGATTGTGACCGCTGCAGACACTGGAAGCATCATTGTCAAGGCGGAATCAGAAATGGAAATACATACAAAGTCCAAGTGTTGAGGGAATGATGGTGGTTAGTGCATCATCTCGCTTGCGTGTAGCACGAAGGAAAAAAAAACTACGCTGGTGCAACATTCCCCGTAAACTTAGATTTTGTATTGAGTGTTAAACGGGCTGCTATTGGCCATAGGCCAGCAGTATTGAATCCTCCACCTCAAGACCAGTTAGCAATGGCGTCGTCGTCGTCGGTTCTTCGTCTGTACCGTGAGATGCTGCGCAACGCAGCCAAGTTCGAGGTGCGTGTCGTGTAGATGTGTGTCTCCTCTCTCTATTGCAGTTTTTCTCGGCTGCTTACTCCCCTGAACTTCGTAGAAAGTAAACTCTTACTAAACCACCCTCTCCTTTCTTTCCTACTTCTATACAGACCTACAACTTCCGCGCGTACGCTACGCGGCGCGTCAGGGAGGACTTCCGCAAGAACAAAGCACTCAAGACTGGCAGCTCCGAACAGGAGAAGGCGCTCGAGTTTGCGCGCGAGCAGGCCAACGTGTTGTACCGCCAGGTGGTCGTGTCCAAGCTGTACCCGCCCCACGTCAAGAGTGTAATGGAGACGCTCATCAAGTAGATGCAGCGAGACATAAATGCCATCTAGTGTACGTGCAATAGGACGGCACTATTTGAACCGGTTGTAGAGTCCGTCTCGATTTCTCATCGCGAAAGTCATGTTAGGAATTGTGCTGTCCTCAGGAGTCTTTGTTTCCGAATTGCATCAAGCTGCTGGCCAGCTCAGAGGTAACCAGACAGACTGTTCAAGTCTGTCTGTAATTTTACCTGCTTAGGCTCTGTCGCTCAACTCAAGCCGTGGTGGGTATGCAGCCTCCCTCGACGGTGAGCGATCAGCTGGTGCAGCTGTCTCAATATGCTCTGTAGTGAATTTATCGATATACGCTCGCTGGCAACAACACCAACTTACATTTTAGCGT